TGTCAACAGAGCTATCAGAGTTACGTTTAATTCGAAAAATCCATTTGCACCCAACTATATTCATGGTAGAATCAGGTGGGACAAGTTCCTATGTGCTGTTTCGAACTAACTCATCAGACATGGCTATACGCCAGCGTGGATCTTTAAGGGCAATAGTCACAGTAGTTGGTTCAAGGTCATCGGATTTGGAGAATTGGGTATGAAGGTTCATTTTAGTGATGGGTTTATGAATGTGGTTCTTTGCTCGGGTGGTCATTGGGTGAGTTGGAAGGGGATGAATTTCAGGTGGGTTAGGAGGAGGCGACTCTGGGATATGTAGTGGTGGATCGGTTGAGGGTGTGAATGAAGGTGAGTGTGAGTGGGTGGTCTGGTTTGTGGTAGTAGATGGAACCGGTACTGGAGTGTGTGTTGGAGCTGCACTTTGAGGTTGTTGAGAGACGATGACTTCAGATGGTGTATTGAGTAGCGGCTAGGAAGAGGGTGCGAGAACTGGAATTGGGGCAGGAATCCAAGTGGCGATGAGGTTGGGGAGAGGACTAGAGGACGGTCTAGACAGTGAAGAGTATGGAAAGTGGGATTCAACAAATTTGACATGTCTTGAGACATAGATTTTTGAGGTGGAAGGGTCAAGACAGTAGTATGCACTTTGAGTGAGAGAGTAGCCAAGGAAAACACACGACTTGGACCGTGATTCAAGCTTGTGTGAGGTGTAAGGTCTGAGCCAAGGGTAGCATCAGCAACCAAAGACCCTTAATTTGGAGTAGTTAGGGGCTGTCAGAAAGATTTTGTGGTAGGGTGAGGAGAGATTTAAAGTGGGAGTGGGCATTCTATTGATAAGGTAGACTGCTGTAGCAAAGGCATAAGTCCAGTAGGAGAGGGGTAAAGAAGCATGAGTGAGCGGTTTCGACGATATGAAGGTGTCGTCTTTCAGAGTAACCATTGTGTTCAGGTGTGTGAGGGGGAGTGGTGAGATGTGATATACCATTGGTGGAAAGAAAATTAGCTAGGGAAAAGTATTCACCACCGTTGTCTGAATAAAGTGTTTTGATGGTGGAAGTGAAGTGTTTTTCCATAATGGCTTTGAATCATATGAAGACTTCTTTGACATCAGATTTGTTTTTGAGTGGGTAAAACCAAATATATTTACTGAAATGATCAATGAAGATTACATAATATTTAAAGCCATTATGTGAGTAAATGGGAGAGGTCTAGACATCAGAGAATATGACTTCAAGAGGTTTAGTAGTGACAATAGTGGAATTGGAGAAAGACAATTTGTGGCTTTTATTGCAAAGACAAGCATTACAGGAAAAATTAGAAGATAAAGACGATTATAAGCCTAAGGCATTGCTAGAAACAATATGCTTGAGAATTGGAAAAGCTGGATGTCCTAAGCGATGGTGCCAGTCAATGGTTGTTGTCTTGATGGTGGAGAAAGCAAGTAAAAGGGAGGAGGTTGGCCACTCATATACGCCATCTTTAGTTTGTCCTTGTAGCAGTGTGGCCCCGGTGTGAAGTTCCTTCACAAGAAAAGTGGATGGTAAGAACTCAATGGAAACATTGTTAGAAGTGCAAAATTGTGAAATAGAGATTAGGTTCTTTTTCATAGATGGAACACACAGAACATTGTTTAATGTAAAGTTTTGGTGAGGAGTTTTGAGAGAGGTGGAACCAGTGTGGGTGATGGCAAGATTGGAGCCATCACCGATCATGTTGTCATCAGTGCCAATGTAGGGAGCATGCAATGAGAGGTTGTTGAGATCAGATGTGACATGGTGTGATGCACTACTATCCAAGAGCCAGGATGGCATGGTGGAAGGTTGGGTGGCAAGTTGAGCTTGTGGTTGCCAGGGTGTGCCTTGTGGGGAAGAGTGAGATGTGGGGAAAGACGGAACTAGTACAAGACGAAATGAAGGACACCGTTTGGCAGTGTGACCCTGAAGCCTACAAATTTGGCAGTGACCAAGGTATGGCCTGGGTGGAGGACGTGGGCCCTGTGATGAATGGGGTCCTGTAGTGGTTGCAGCAGATGGGTGGTTGGTGGAGTTAAGGGATGGGTGCCAATTTGTGGTGGCAGTGTTTTGTGGTGGGGAAGGACGCCAATTTCTGGTGTTGGTTTTGTATGTGGGATTTGCAGTGGCTGGAAAGTGATGTGGCTCAGGTTGGATGCTGTGAAGGGAGGCTTCAAAGTTGAGGAGTTTTTCGTGAAGTTCTTCAAAAGTGATAGAGGTATCTCTAGCTTGGACAGCTCGGACTAATTCTTTGTATTCATCACCGAGGCCATCGAGGATTTTGTCTGTGATTTCTTCTTCATCCATTGGAGCGCCAAGAAGAGCAAGGTCATCGGCTCGAGTTTTGATGGTTTGCATAAACTCAGTGATGCTGAGGGAGCCTTTGGTGGTGTTTTTGATTTGGGTTTTGATTTGTTTGATGCGGCGTCGAGAGGGTTTAGCATAGGTGTTGGCTAGAATTGTCCAGGCTTGTTTAGAGGTTTGGGCTTGAGCTATGAAAGGAATAATGGTGGGTGAAATGGAGCCAATAATAGCGTTGAGGATTAGTTGGTCCTGTCGGTTCCATAGAGTGTGACTGGGATTAGGAATGATGGTATTTGCTTGGGTTATGGTGGCTGGCGGACATGGTTTGGAACCATCAATGTAGCCAAGAAGGTCATAGCCAATGAAGAGGGTTTGGAACTATAGTTTCCAGGAGAGGTAAGTGGTAGAGGTGAGTTTGAGAGGGGCTTGAGCAGCAACGTTGATGCTGATGAGAGTTTGGTGTGCTTCGTTGGTGTTGAGGATGGTTGCAGCAGCAGACTCGGCAGTCATGAGTGCTGAAGAACAGGGGGGGAAAAAAAGATGGAACAATGGATCGGTTTAGGCTCCTAATACCATAACAGCTTGAGGAAATCAACCTACTTTCATATACATTTTGCAGCATATATATACACATACAGGATAACAACTATTTGTTTGAAGTCCTAAAATGTAGAACAGTTTGAAACTGTTTCCTAACTCTAAGGTACAAGTGTTTCAAATGAATTCAAAATAGAGAAACTTAAGGACTGTTACAATCTGTTACAATCTTGTGATACCACACACACCCATACATACGACACCAATTAACTAAAATGTAGGAACTAGGGTTGTGCAAAATATCGCCCAATTTGCTAAAACCGCACCAATCTGCATCAATCCATATCGCTCCATCCGCTAAACGTGGTTTAAAATTTAAAATTTATAATCCGCCTTCGAAACTGCTCCGCTTCGCGATAGTTAATACATATATATTTTTTAACTGATAATGAAATATCAAAATAAAAATGAGTATGAGAGATATTTAAGATGTTAAGGTTCATTTGGGATGTGGGCTGGCTTTCTGACTTTTTGACTATTTAGCTTGGGGCTAAAAAGTCTTGTTTGGGATAAGCTTTTTGGCTTTTTTGACTTTTGTGAGAGAAAAAATGAAATGTTTATAGACTGAATATGGTGTTTTGTCTTATTGGGTTAAAAAATCTATTTTGTCTTTTTGTGATTAAAATAGCCAAAAAACCTGGCATGCCAAACGAATGCCAAATTTAATACAAATTAATAATTATATATATAAAAAAATATTATGTAAAATTAATTTGTATTTATATGAAAAATATTATATAAATTAATGTTATATATTATATAAAAACTTGATAATTAATTAGAATATTTTTAATTGGCCCAAAACTACTCAAGCCAAAACATGCTTATAATTTTTTTCTCAAATCATTCAAATCGCACCGGACACACTCTAAGGGAGATGACAAATCAAATTTTCAATAGTCAAAATATATTCTAAAGCCGCCATCATACGGACTCTCTAACACCCAAACACATCCTCAAACCGCCATCCATACAAAGAAAACTACTTTGAACTGACTCCCTGACACCCAAACACATCAGGAAGGAAACAAAATAACCATTCTAATTTTCTCACCAAACGGAGAGCACGGGATCGGCTGTGCCAATTCAAGGTCTCTCCACTGCCACGTGTCCATCACCAAACATTCATTTAGCTCCGTTAATTATCCATAAGAAAACCCACAGCAGCACCATCGTCAATTTCCTCTGTTCCTCTTCCCTCTTTCCTTTCTTCTTCTAAATAATTAAACACAAATTGCACGACTAAACATTCTTTTCTCCTCCAGCAATGATTGAGGGCTATAATTTTTATGGCTCAAATGGCTTAAAATTGTTAAAACGAAGTCGTTTTGAGTACAAAACAACTTTAAAATTGTCAAAACGACGTCGTTTTGACAATTTTGAACTATTTAAACCACAAAAATTATGACCCTCAAACATTTTCCTTTCTCTCTCCTCTATGCTATTAAAACCAAAATCAATCCAAATTGGGTCGAATTTTTAATTTGTTGATTCCGTTTGTCGTCCATGGGTTCCAGTTACATCCAAGTCATGGGGTCAAGAATTGGTAGAGAGAGAGATTAAAAATAATACAGAGGAAAAGTTGCCCCTAAAAATGATGTACTGGATTTTGAAGATTCTTTGTGTAGTGTTCCCGAGAGAACCTGTAGTAAAAATAATTCCATAGTCAGAGCATTTACTCACGTTGACAAATCGCCATATTCGACAAGGCCTAATCTTTTCCGTGGAAACTTTCTTTCTTGACCAAGTAAACAACGGTTGCGTGTTTGATTTATAAATTTAAAAAAAGATTTGAAAAAAAGAAAAAAGAAAAAAATTGTGTGTGAAGTATAAGTAAAACGTAATTTAATGTGTTTAGTTTTAATTTTTTAAAAATTAAATTTTTTATTTTTTGTATTTTTAGTGAATATTTTTAATTTTTTAAATAATTTTTCTATTTTTTTAGACTTATTTTATTTAAATATATCTAAATATAAAATATTCATGAAAAAATATTTCATTACATTTTATCTATTCTTTTGGTTTTCAAATCCAAATTCCTACCAAAATGCTTGAACCAAACACGCAAGCCAACCCCAAGAAATTGTGCCTCTTGCAACCCATCTATCTACTTATTTATATCTATGAGAAAGAGAAACAACCTCAATCATCATCTAATCTTTCAAACACCCATCTCCAATATCTCTCATCTTCTTTCACTGTGTCTCCATGATCACCTTTCTCTTCTTTCTTGTATTACTATTTTTTTATGCAAATGCAACTCCATTGTCATTCAACCTCCCAACTATAGAACACAATGATTCCCTCATAAACTGCACAGGAGATGCTTCCATCTCATCCCAAGGCATCCAAGTCACCCGAGACACTGATCTGTACAACGCGTCGTCGTTGCAGCGGAGGACTGGTCGTGCCACTTGTACCCAACTGATGCATCTTTGGGACGCGGCCACAGGGAACCTCACAGACTTCAGTACCAATTTCTCATTTATCATCAAAGGAAATAACTATGGTGAGGGGCTTGCATTCTTTCTCGCTCCCAATGGTTCCAATATCCCTCCAAACTCGACAGGCGGTGGCCTAGGCCTCATAAATGAAAACCAGACAACAGCTTCAACTGGCGTAAACCGGTTTGTCGCTGTGGAGTTTGATACTTACAAGAATAATCCTTGGCAAGAAGGCTTGCCTATCAATCATGTCGGTATCAATGTCAACTCTAGGGTCTCAGTGGCTAATGTCACATGGAAAAGTAGTATCAAGGGTGGATCAACTGCAAATGCTTGGGTGAGTTACAATTCCACTACCAAAAATTTAAGTGTATATCTAACTTATTTTTTCTGGGGGCTGCCCTGCTATTTATACTCGTCAGTGATGACCTTCGAACTGTACTTCGAACCGTCGAACTGCTCCTCCATGATCGCTGATCATGCTTCCTTACAAGTAGCTCCATTACGCCATTACTGGCAGTTGAGCTTCCCTCTTGTACTTAGATTTGAATATGAGTAACCGTTGAGGACACGTCATCTTGCATCCCGTTATTTGATCTAGTGTTACTCAGATCATGTGAGGACCAATATTTATTGCCACGTGTACGACCAGGATTAAGGGCTTGAATAACCTTCCTTTATTACCCTTACTATGCCACGTGTCGAACTGTAACTGGCTTTTACAAAATATGTAGCCAACAATATTTTAGCTAAATAGTTAAATAGTTAAAAAATTAGTCTGTTCTCAAACGAGACTTAAGTGTACGAATATTAGGAGCTGAGACCCTTATCTGCAAATATAAAAAATACCAAAATTCTACAACTTCGGTGGAAGATCACGTGGACACGGGATTTTAAGGTAGGCTGGTCTACATCTACTACAAGTGCTGTACAATCTTCATTTGAAAGTTGGTCAACCTTTGTACAGTGAAAATAATTGCTTCTCTATGTTGACAAAAGACAGTTTTAAACGCGTGTGAAATAAAAGTACTTACTATTTAATTTATCTTTTAAAAAGATAAGAATTATATAAGTACTTTGAAGATCCCTGATATTTTAAAACTTGTTTCTTTTATTATATTACTCTCATATCTATCACATCTCCTATTAAGTTATCTTCACTATGTATTTTAGAGTAAAATTTTACTCTGTATGAAAGTAAAATTTTATACTCTGAAACTAAAGTAAAATTTTACTCTATATAAAAGTAAAATTTTACTCTGAATAAGAGTAAAATTTTACACTCTGAAACTAAAAGTAAAATTTTACTCTGTATAAAATTAAAATTTTACTCTGAAAAACAAGTAAACTGTGAGACTCTGAAACTAAAAGTAAAATTTTACTCTGTATAAAAATAAAATTTTACTGGTTCTGTCAAATGAAAAAAACAGAGCAATAGAACCAGAGTAAAATTTTACTCTGGTTCTATCAAATGAACTTAGATCATTCACAGCCACTGTTCTTCTGTTTCTTCACAGTTACTTGCCTCTTTCGTATCACCTCTTTAGCTTCTCTGTTATCTATTACATATACACAATCCATATTGCTCACTCAAGACACAAAAATTTATCAAAATCAAAAACAATTTTACAACAAAAAATTGAGAGAACATAGTAACAACTCATCAATAGATCAATTTAAGAACTTAACAACACTATCCAAATGAAAAATCTCTCCCTCACACACACACACACACACACACACACACATATATATGAAAAATCTGAAGAACTGTGTTCAAATATGAAAATTTTGAGCAGTCGCGCGATTCGTCTTTATATTCTTTCACAATTCGAATTTTTGATCGACGAGGCTATCATCAACGGCAAGAACATGAACTTCATGAGAATTGGAAGGCGATACGTCGACGTCGTCGAAGCTTTCTCTGATCATCTCCGACGATCTCTTCCACTGCGAAACCTATGCGCCATTCAAAAAAAATTCTCTGCAACTGAGAGTGATTTAGGTATATTCACAGTTTTGGTTGAAATCACGAGAGCTTCGAACGAATCCAATCCAAACCCTAGGAATGGAAGAGAGAAGGAAAAAAGAGTAGAGAATGTGAGGAAATTTAGTTGAGGGTATAATAGTCTAATAAAATATTTAAATAATAAATTTTGTCCTTTATGTAAAATTTTATAATTATGAGGGGGTTTAGAAAATATAATTTTTTTTCTTAGTCCTTTTAACAATGAAAAGAAGGTAAAAGGGGTTTATAGTTAAATTTCCCAATAAAAGTCAACATTTGCAATTACATTAAGAAAATTGTTACGCTGTCTTTAGATTATGTATTTAGAAAAAGATTGGTCGACACAATAATTTTAACATTTTCATTTTATTACGTTTATTTAAAAAAAAAAATGAATGATAATTATGTTTTAAAAAATGGACAATTCATTTCTTTTAAGATAAACACAATAAAATGAAAATGTTACGTTTATTATATCAACCTAATTTTTTTATGAATGATATACATAGAGGACCTTACAAAATAAACGATTCAAATAATCGAAACAGGGCAATAACGTTTTTGTTTTAAATAAAAAATAAAAGCACAAATACCCCTGAGAAGTGTTTTCATTTTAAAAAATGGCAACCACTTTCAATAATTTTTAAATTTAAAGAATAAAAAATTAAGTATTTTCATTAATTTTCAAAAACAAAAATATTATTCCTTCTCTTTGTCTCGCATCTTTCCACAAAATGGGACATATATGTGAGATAAATGGTGAATTCTGCATTTTTGTCTCACTTTTATGTCTTATTATGCGAAAATATTATGTATTCCTAGCATAGCTAAACAAGCATGGCCTCAAGGGTCCTAGGGCAGTTTCTTTTTCATTAGTTACCTGTTATGGCCATTACACTTGGAGATGTGCTTTTCAGCTTTCCTAGAGCTTTGCTTTTTTGTGCTGAAGCCAATGCTGCTCTATCCTCTTGCCAATTGCCACACATCTGACTCATGTTCAAGTCAACATAACTTCTGTTAATGTAAATGTAACTGTCTTCTACAACGGTCTGACACGACCACACAGTGTCTGCTACAACGGTCCGACATGACCCCATAAACTGTCTTCTACATCGGTCTGACACGACCACACAGTGTCTGCTACAACGGTCCGACATGACCCCAATAAATAAAAAATAATACTGATGGATCATACCTTGTAGTGGTTGCTGTAATATTAGTATTCAATACAAGTGATATATAAAGCCTGCAAATGTATGTTGTCTAAGTGTCTATCTTTTAGAATAAACTAAAAATCTTAAGAAATTGCCCAAGAAAATGTTTTCTATTTCTTTGAGATGAAAAAACACAAGACGGCAAAGAAATTTATTCAGTTAAAAAGTACAACAGTAATTCAGCAGATCACATGACTCTTCAACAATGAATAGTTTATTTACATGTCAATGTCATACCTTGACAAAGATCATCGGAAAACTTATTTGGTTTCTCTGCCCATGGCTTCAGATTCAGATTCAGATTCTGTCAATGAAGATTCTCAAAGAAATAGTATCAATCACTAGACAATGCTGAGAAGGCTCTTTCACAGATCACTAGACAAAAGTCGAGTTTTGTCTTTGGTAGTCGAAAATAGATGAAGTAGAAGTTGGTTGGGTTGTCCGTACAATTTGGCATCATTGCAAGCACCCAATTTTCCTCACAACCATGGCTGTCTGCAACTCTTGGAAAACCCTCCAATCACATACCCTTCTTTGTTCTCTCTTCATGATCACAATTATCATCTGTCTTGTAATTCCTCATGCAATTGCACTGAGCTTCAACCTGACCAACATTGGTCCTAAGCATCTTAATGTCAACATAACAACCTACCAAGATGCATATATCTCATCCCAAGGCGGCCAAGTTACCTCAGATGAGAACAGCAGCAGATTGCAGCTGAGACTGAGGTAAAGCCACATTTATCGAACCTCTTCACCTTTGGGCTATCACTTCTGGAAACCTGATGGACTTCAACACCCATTTCACGTTCATGATTGATTTAGAAGGAAGTCCACATAACGCAGATGGGCTTGCATTCTTTCTGGCTCCTGGTGGTTCAAATATCTCAATAGGCGGTGGCATTGGTCTTCCAATCAACCTCAAGACATTGAAACCGACCAGTCCATTTGTTGCTGTGGAGTCTGATGCCTTTCAGAATATTAAATGGGATCCAGTGAACATCACTCCTTAAATCTAATGCTACTGCAGTTTGGTATTGCAATATAACTCACGGAATACAAAATAAAGCTTGGATTAGCTATGATTCTAATTCGAAAAATTTGAGTGTTGCTTTTGTTGGAAAATTTATAAAGAGGTAGTTGTGAATTGAAATAGAGTCCATTTTGAATGAAAGGGTGTAACCTTTCATGGTCTTTTTGTTTTAAAGGAAGGGTCAAACCTCTATTTGAATGAAAGGGTGCAAACCTTTCATGGTGTCTCTTTATTTTAAAGGAAGAGTTATGTCCTTTCTTCATACCTTTTCTATTCAAATTGAATAGGTGCCAACAAAGCCTATATAAAGGCAGCCTCATTCCAATTTTGATTGATTCCGAAAATTCATTTTCCTTACTTTCATTTTGCTCTCTTGCGTCCTTTATTCTTCATATTATTTTAGGAAAAATTTCAGAGAGTTATAGAACACAAGGTTCTAGTTCGCCGGACAAATTTGTTTGAAGTGCTACTACAAATTTGTGAAGATCATTGTATCCTGAGAGATAGACGCCACATAACCGTAAGCACCGTAGCGGGGCGAATCTGTCTTAAGGATAGAGTGTCACACACTCGACTTGGTCTTTTGATTTTTAAATTCGGTTCAACAAAATAAATTCTATAAGTTTTATTTTATTTTGTTTGGCTTTGTTTTATTTATTTCATTTACACAGAAGATTGTCCAACAATCTTAAGACAGATTCGAATTATTCTGTTTACAGAATTTTTCATTTGTTTCCTTTTCTCTTTCTTCGTTTAAGAAAATTATTTTCTGTGGATTTACAAAATAATATTCTAGTTGGAAAAACAAATAATAATTATATGCTATTTGACAGATAGTAGTAATATACTGTCTATTTTCTTTGACAACTAGTAGTACGATACTGGTGTCATTAACAATTCAGAAATATTTTTGTGAAATTTTTTCAGAAATTAATTTTGGGCTTTTAGAAATTATTTTCTGAGTTTTCATTAATTAAAATTCTGTTTCAGTATTTTAATTATTGAAGTGTTACAGAAAT